CCTAGCTTAAAATAAAGACACAGTAAAACAATTTCTGGTATCAAAAATGCTTTGCTTTCCCATTTTTTCATTTTAAGGGTTTTGGATATAAAGTTCGATTTCCCATCAAACAGAAGTTTCAATTTCCAAAGCATTTTAACCATACCCTTTATGGCACTTAATACATTTCAATTAACACCATCAGTATTTACATTCATACGTAGTATTTTGTATATTGTAGTGGCTAAGGGCAAGGGTGCTGGAACTAAACTACGTGCGCTTGAATCCTGAGTCTACCACTTACTAGCGATATGATCTTGAGTTAGTTACTTAACCTCCTTTATTTCAATTTCCCCATCTGTAAAGTAGGGATTATAAGAAAAACCACTTCAGATCACTATTGTTAAGATTTAGAGTTTCAAAGTGCTTGGCACATAGTAAATGCTCAATAAATGTTACCTATTATTTTCTTTTTATCTCCTGTTGTAAGCTGGGAGCTCCTGGGGAGCAAGGACAGCGTAAGTATTCGTTTTCGTGACCCCCCCTCTCCCAGCACCTTGCACACAAACATGCTGGGTTAATATCTGCAGAAGAGATGAATATAAATGAACTGTTTATACAAAAATGTGCATTATTAATTAGGACTGGAACAATAGCCAGAATTGTTCCAACAGTTTGGAGGCCTGTGGAGAACAGGAACTATCCAGAGCACTAGCAGTTCACCCTGCTCCTGAAGGTCTGGAAGCACGTTTAATCTGCAAGGAATACTCAGGCCTCACGGGCACCAAGAGTCAGGGCAGCTGTATGAAGGAGGGGGGCAGCTGGACTGAAGAACTGGGCTGGCTGAGGTGCTTCCCTGGCCATTAAGAGGCTGCGTGACCTGGGGCAATGAGTTTCACCTCTGCTACTACTGTTGTTAGTTAGCTACCCTTGAGATGGCCAGACTCACAACAGCCTCATACATAATGGACCAAAATGCTGCCCAGTCTTGTACCATCCCCACGATCCATCTGTGGAATGGACCGCTGTGATTCAAGGGTTTTATCTGGCTGATTTTCAGAACTAGATTGGCAGGCCTTTCTTCCTAGTCTGCCTTAGTCTGGAAGCTTTGCTGAAACCTGTTCAGCATTATAATAACACACAATTCACTACTGACAGATGGGTGGTGGCTGTGCATAAGGTGCATTGGCAAGAACTGAACCTGGGTCTCCTGCATGAAAGGCAAGAATTCTACCACTGAACCACATATACCTCACCTTCACCTCTCTGGGTTTGCTAAATTTCCTCTTCAGATTAACAGAAGGTTGATGTTGATTCTGATTCAGGTCAATTTCAATTCATATGCAGAACTGTGGTTTCTAAGGACCCTCCTAGCCACTTCGGGAGTCTATAAAATCACCACACAAAAACTAGGCCAAGGAAAATGCTGCTGGAATAAAAGAACCATATCAAAGTCAACACAGGAATCATTAGATTACTGTATCACAACGGATTAGTGAGTGAGAATTGGCTACTTGAAACATGACAAAAAGCAAGGTTTTTGAAACATGCTTAAAATGAAGAGATCTGAATATACAAAATCAAAAATAAAAGCAATGATGGGTACAGGCTATAGACTTCCATTTAATTTTATACTCATCAGCCTACAAACTCCTTAAGGGCAGGGACTGTGCCTTGTTGAGTGCCACAGTGTGTGGCAAAGCTGTTCACCAAAAACACAGTTCTTCTTGTCATTTTTTCTGGGCACATGGCTAAACTACATTTCCAGGCTCCCTTGCAGTTAAATGTGGCCATATAACTAGCCCTCACCTACAGAATGGGAGTGGAAGTGACAGGTGTCATTTCTGGACAAAGGCATTTAAAGAGTGGGTACACTCTCCTTCTTCCTCTTTTGTCCCTTCTGTCAGTTGAAAGTAGGTTACAATGGAACTTTAAGGGAATGGTGAAGCTACAAGATAGGAATGTGGAACCCATAATCACTGTATGGAAGAAAGTCACTCCTTGACCAGAAACACCCATTTTGGACATGAGAAAGAATAAAAGCCTATTGCTTTTGAGCCATTATATTATGGGGGGTCTACTTGCTAAATGGAGTCCCTGGGTGGTGAAAATGGTTAATGTGCTTGGCTGCTAATGAAAGGTTGGAGGTTTGAGCCCACCCAGAGGTGCCTTGGAAGAAAGGCCCGGTGATCTTCTTCTGAAAAATCAGCCACTGAAAACCCTGTGGAGCACAGTTGAGCTCTGACACACACGGGGTTGCCATGAGTTGGAGTCGACTCAATGGCAACTGGTGGTAGTGGTGGTGGATTTGTTAGACCTACTCACATTAGCCTAATTAATATGCAGTGCCTGGCACATACCAAGGACTAATTCACACTAGGAACTACTAAGGTACCACTTGGAAGGGGACAAGATAAATAAGACCAGGTTCCTTTTTATGATGTGCTGACCAAGCAATGGTAGAAACAGACACGTCTCAAACATAATGCCGGCTATTGAAGCTTGAAAATAAAAGAGTAGGGGGTAGGGGGTGGACAGTGGCAGAGGAGGCACAATAACTTGTTTGGAGGGTACAGGATGGGGAAGGCTTCACAAAAGAGATGACTTTAAGCTGGGCCCTGAAGGTTAAATAGGACTTCACTAAGCAAGTCAGATGTGGTTGGGGATTCAGACCCAGAAGAAAGCATGGAGCAAAAACAAGGAAAGCAGAGTGTGGGTTTGTTCACATTCAGTCTTATCCATAAAGTCTCTTTAACTTGTCAACAGAGTGTGAGTTTATTGTGCACTGACTCTCATTCCTGGGTCTGGAATCCAACAAACAACCCTTTGTTTTTACAGTACCCTCATTAACTCATTGCTTTTTCTAATGTAAAAGTTCCACGATGAATGTCCTTAGAAAGTACAGAAGTAAATGTTTAATGAACCATAACAACTCTTTTCTAGTAAAAGCCTTTAAGAATAAACTTGTTCCATTACTTATAACAGTCAAGGAGCCATGCTCTTAGGAATCAACACGTCCAGCCTAAGCTTTGACATTATCAACTACGCATATAATACTCACTGGCTTACAAAATGGAACATAAGCCCCCAGATTTATATTAACCTTTCGTCTTTAAGAGGAACATCATGCAGATGGTTTAGAGTTCAGTCAAAAGATTCTCTATATCACCAAAGCCGTAGATAGTTAACAAACCACTTCCTCTAAAAGTCCGTGGGTCTCTTCATCAGAAAGCAAGGCACCCACCGGGTAGGGAAAGAGAACACAAAGGGTGGAAAGTACTGCAGTTGCTTGGGGGTGTGAGGAAGGATGTGGGCGTCTGAAGGCTACGCTGAAGCAGATAAGAGACACAGTCTCCAGTGGTTTTCCAAATGCCAATTCAGTGCTGTTTTATTAATGTCCCTAGACGCTTATTTAAACATAAGGGTAAACCAACATCACCGGGCAGACAAGAGTCCATTTCAAAACACTTCAGTGCAGTGGCCTGAGACTTGGGAGAAGCAGCAAGTCAGGCAGCCTCACTCTTATCAAACACCAATTTAATTCTGACTCAGAAACAAAATTCTGCTCCCACACCAATTTATCCAACCCCAACTCATGGTACCCATTCCCAAAAAAAGAAAGGGGGGAGGGAAGGGGTAGCTACCTAGAACAGTAAAGCAACTCTTAAGACTACTGTAATCATTTTCTCCTTGAATCTAGGAAACGATACAGCTGCCAGTCAACACTGCCAGTCCATGGACACAGCAAAATGCCCCATGAACACAGCAAAATGCCGGCACCTGCCACCCTGCATCAGGCATCTGGGGTCTTTTTTTTTTTTTTTTTTTTTCGGTAAATGTGGCAGGAAAGACTCTCAGAAAGAAGATCAACTGCTTCATCTGAGAGAAAGGGAAGCCCCAGGGAAGAGAAACAAGAAGCATCGGGCCCATCCTTGGGTACTTTGTGTGTCTCTTCTCTATGCACTGAAAGAGCCCTTTGTGTCACACACACACACACCCGGGAAGCCTCTGTGATTTATTGGGGGGAGGAGAGGCAAGAAGGGTGATTTTATTATCTTCTTCTCAATGAGTCCCAGCAGATCTCCTCCCTGGATCCAAGCTCGGTGGCCTCTTTCTGGCCCAGTCCCCTCCGCCTGTGGCCACAGAGATAAGAGAAGGGAGGCGACCAAACAAAAACAGCCATCGATCTAGGGAAGTAGAGAGGAAATACAGAGATTGGGGAAGGGAGGAGAAAGGAGCTTAAGGGAACAGAAGGGGTGGGGGGCAGAGAAAGAGGAGAGACGGCTCCAGCACATGGGAAGGGGAAGGGTGGGTGGGTGGTGGCACAGGAAGAGTGAAGGGGAGGATGGGGGAAGTACAAGGGAGGTGCCAGAAATAGGCAGGAGGATGAGAAGGGGAAGGCGACGGCCGCAGAGGGAGGAGGAGGCCGAGAGGTGGAGTGGGGTGGGGCGGGGTGGGGGTGGGATGAAGTGAGGTGGAGTGTGGTGGGGTGGGGGTGAAGCTGCACGGGGCATCGATTATTAAGTGATTACATCATCCTTGACATTAAAACAACACACACAGCCCTGGTCCCCGCTGGGGGCCCCCCGAAAGGAGGGTGGGGGCGGAGCCCGAGTCCGGGCCAGCCTCGCCCCCAAGCCAATTCCTATTCTCGCTCCGCGCCCGCTCGCAGGCTAGGAAATGGGGCCCCCATCCCTGCGGTACCCCGGACGCCCTCCGCAGAGGTGTCCTCTGGCGCCGCCGCTGGAAGCCCCCGAGCGCGGCCAACTCCCCAGCAGCCCGCGGAACGACCGGGAGGCGGCGGCGGCCAAGTGACTGCAGCGCGGGGCCCCGGG